ATGAAGCAAATGTGATGACTGATTGGAACATATTAGCTACCCATGCCTGTTTTTCTTTCTTGATTAAACAAAGTCTTTGTCTAGTAACTTATCAGCCTGTGCAAGACACAGAATGTTCTTCAATGCTCTTACAGCGCTCAAAGTCTAGATAACTCGAATCAAGCTTAAAGACAGTGTTAGTCCAAAATAATGAAGATTTTGTTACAATGGCTCAAGTTAGACTAAACAAAGCACTATCAGATGGGAGAGACCAAAGTTCAAATACCTCTTTAGAAGACTTCACATTTGATGGTGCCAGGGAATGCTAGATTAAGACAGTTGCTGGATTAGTGACATGTCAGGATAACAGATTTAATTAATCTCAAAAACAATAGTTTGTAACTGTAAAGAAAATAAATTGTACCGGAAAGCCGGAGATTCTGCATGTTTCAAGTTGTTCTGTAAACTTGAGTTTTGAAAACCGGGAAAAGACCGTGAATTAGTTTTGTATTGGACTGGATGTTTCTATTATGGTCGTCCTGTCAAGTAAAAAAATCACAACTGCAGTGGGTGATCACGGATGTTGCTGCGATCTTTCCAATGAGTCAATTTTGGTTCCGACTCACCACTATTGCGCTTCCATCACTGGACTGTTTGCCAATAAGCCTCTCTATTGGTAAGAAGGTCTATCCAATTATCCGTAATGACATTCCAACGTCTGTTCTCTGTACCGGTGGTAGCAAGAATCACTTGTAGGTACCACATCAGGATTGCCACCCATCCCGATTTCGGTCCCTTGTGTCCATGTTTATATGCCTATGTTAACCCGGGGGGAGGGGACGTCCCGATTTTTCCATTATCAAAGGTGGCAACTCTGGTACCAACACATCACTATTTTACATTACAATTAGGTTTTGTTTGTGTTTTACTTAACTTACAGTACAGTCATATAAAACTTAATAGTTTTTTACACAGTAAAGTATTTTGGTTTTCAGAAAATGTGTGATGTTTAACAATATATCAGGTCGCCGGAATTTTATCCCCCTGGAATTTTACCCCCTGGGCAAAGCTGACGTCACTATGACGTAGTAACCTGAGTGGCCAAAAGTTTGTTCGTGGAATTTTAACCCCACGGATTTGGAAGTCTAATGAAAATAGCCAGAGCGTAATTAATTAGATTAGCGATAAAAACCGGAATTTTAACCCCTGTCCATATAACTAGCGTTTAGACAACTGAAGATGTACGGGCCTTATTTTTACCCCCAGATTTTTACCCCCCGGAATTTTACCCCCTGGCCGATTTTACAAATTGAATGATTGATTTTATTTTTTCTGTTTTTAATTAATTGTAAACATTTCATTATTTAGTCGCCTATCTTTATTTATTTTGTAATCTTATCTAAGTAAACAGAATTCGCTGTTTAATTTTGATGTTCGGGATTTGCGTTTGGGGCCAACTGTTGGTTAATAAGTATGTAAAATAAACTGAGTAGCTCATATAAATGATAATTGGGTAGACATTTCTTCGTAAAGAAACAATAAGGCATATTTTGTTATTGTTACAATACAAACGAAAAACATTGTTTTACCACAGTTGTATAATAAATCGTTAAAGAAATCTTCGAATCAATTACCATTCTGATGTTTGTTTATACGTCATATTAATCAACAGTTGGCTTCAAAGATCGAATCCTGATACTAGAATCTCAAAATGAAAATCAAAAACCTGTTTGATTAGTTGATGATACAAATAAATTTAGGCTACTTAATAATAAAATGTTTACTATTAAATTAAAACAGAATGAAGATAATTAATCATTCTCACTAATTTATATATCTGGCCAGGGGGTAAAATTCCAGGGGGATAAAAATCCGTTACCAAATATATCCATGTGTATTTAAGGCCGCACATTGGAGCGAGGCGAGGTGCAGGCAGGAGCGAGGACTATTTCGTATCACTGCACATTGAAGCGAGGTGGGACAGAGGTTTCCTAGCTTTGATCTTTGAAGATTTTCGGACGTGTGTTTTTGGAAATGCGATTTACATGAAAAAAGATTAAGCCATGGAGGGTAGGCTATGTTTTTAACTATTGAACTGCCAGACCGGTATTTTAGAGAATATTTTCGTGTGAACAAACAACTGTTTGATGATATCCATAATTTGATTTGAAAGTGGCATTAGTGGAAAGGAATGCAATGCTCAGCAACACATAGCCATCTGAATTAAATGCTCCATTACTATATCTTTCACTCACAAACAATATAAAACTAACGCAGGTGCGAGCGAGGTGCAAGAAAACTGTATTCGAACTACAACGCCGCGGAGGCCTTATAGAGGCTGCAGCCGTGCTGCGCGGAGGCTACCTGCTCAATGTGCAGTGCTCCATTTATAAACACGAGTATTACAAAATCAGCCGCGCCTCGCCTGCACCTCGCCTCGCTCCAATGTGCGGCGGGCCTAAATCTGTTTTTTTTGTAAAATATTCTCTCTGGGTTCTAAATGTTCTAGTTTGCTGTGGAATATTTAAACCAATTTGAGTGAAATAAATTTTGAGCACACCATCTTGAATTGTTTATGCTTAAGCAAGGCTACGTTGTTTAAGTATAATTTATTTGTAGTCTTATTTACTGTATCCTTTTTTTCTGGTACCTCAACTGTTTATGAAAATTAAATAGTCTTTAATACCTACTTCATTTTATATAGGTACTTCTGTAATACTTAACAATTATTTCAACACCATTTCAGATCATCTTCGAGACCAAGCAAATATTTATTTGACTTCCATTAACCAGTGTGAAAGCTTTTAATTTTACCTCAGACCTATGCCTTAAAGATCTATCGATAAAGCTACTGTTTAATCTTCAGATATCATTTGTAGCCTATACCATGAAATAAATAGAAATAGATGTGACATATATTTCTATAGTTTGGCCTGCATATCTGAAAAAATGCCCACTTGATATTCAAACAAACAGCTGTCCTGAGCATAATAAGGCTTTAACTGACTAATGAACTCCGTCTGTAAAACAGGCGCATTGCTAGTATATAGATTAAAAACTTAAACTTAACTCCAATAACTGATTTTTTGCTGTTAACGCTAGTTCGCCAAACAGAATGGTAACTTCCTGTTTACAAAAACAACAACCTAAAAGCTTCTCTTTAAAATGTCTATGTTGAAATTCGTTAATGTCGTTTTGTTATTGTCACAAGTCTTTTTTTTACTTTGGATCAAATCCTAAAAAATCATTGCTTCTCAAAAATGCTGTCAATTGTTCTTTGTACCTGAGACTCCATATATATTGATTTTTTAATTTTATGGTTCTCACCAAACAAGTTTGTAGTTCTCGCTTCAGACAAGTTAGTAAAGAGGAAATGTTGAATTGCTGCATTTGTCACTCAGCCCTAAAAGCAAATAAGCTTTCATGTTTCAATGAACACTAAAAGGAAAGGTAGAAGCAGTGGGTTTAGTTAAGGAGTCTCGGGCCCAATACAGCTTACGACTGTCCCAAACGTTGATAAGTACTCTCAGTGTGTTTTGTGTGAACCAAATTTCATGTCTGCCTGGACCTTTTCAAGACCACTGAGCCATGTGTAATGGTAACTGTAGAAAACTGATTGAATCTCTGCTTAAGTCTCTCTTTGCCGTTTGTATCTTATTAATAATCAAGGAATATTTTCAACCTACTTACATTTCTACCTATTAATAGAATAGTGTTTAGAATTTTTTTATTTCAACAGTTGCATTTTTTAAATAGTTTATACGTCATACTGCAGCAAAAAAACCGTTTTTAATGCACACGTTGCATGTCTAAAGTAGCATTTTACTCTCCAGGGAGTAAAAAGAATGTTTAACACATAGGGAGTAAAAATCAGCTGTCAACCAAGTTGTAAATTTCAATTGTGTAGACAATTGCACGCATTAAAAGTATGAATCAATTGTAGCTTATTGTTGCCTCATTGTAAATAGTTATATGAAATTCGCTAAAAAGGAAATATTTTTTATGGATCTCTTTTTTGACACAACTTAACGATTTGGTGTGAATAAAAACTCTTAGAATCGTGCAGCGATACTAAATATAATGACTTTTTTGCTGTAAATTTAATAATATTTTGACCATATACCAGAACAGGTAACCTACTTGTGCATGTAGGGCCTACCTCACACTGGGTCAAAGTCAAAAAAGTCAAAGTATTTATTTGCACATAACATTTATGGGTTACAGCAAGTAACATCAAACTGGTGCATCGTCATTACATTTCTAAAAAGAAACAATACAACTAACTATGACACAAATAAACATCTAAATATTTAACAAATTCTTCAACACTATATACACTTAATTCTAGGAGGAGTCGCTTCAAATAAGACTTATATCTAATTAAATCTAGCTGCTTTACATGGTTCGGTAATTTATTGTACATTCTTTTACCCAGCTCAAAAGTTGAATTAATTGTCCTTTGATAGTTACATTGGTCAGTTCTTAAATAATTGTTTTGCCTAGTAAAGTAGTTATGAACAGAGCTATTAGTTTGAAACTGTTTTAAATTAGTTCTAATGTACATTAAGCAATCCAATATAAACAAAGAGGGAACAGTCATTACTTTAAGTTTCTTAAAAAGTGGTTTGCAATGGGTCCTACGATTAACATTGAACATGATTCTTAAGGCTCTCTTCTGAAGCCGCAATAATTTTATTGTATTACTGTCATAACCCTCAGTTCAAAGTAGCTATACGCTCCTATGTCCGGAGTAGAGAAGTGTTATATTGTCTTTGGTCCAAAGTTTACATTTTCAGTCTTTTACTACTAACTATAGACATCCCAGAAACAAAACATCCCTGGGCCTTTTCGCGCCGCGCAGCTTTGTAGGGTACGCCACACCCACCGGCACAAACCACGTGATCTTTTTGTTTTTGCGCAGGTAGTTTTGTTCTTGGGATATATATAAATATGAATCTTCTTTATAGCATTAACCTCATTCAAATAATTAATAATAATTAAAACTCATTTTTTTGTTTCAGATAAAATGCCAGAGACTAAGGTCAAACCTAAGGACGGCAAAGTCGTTCGTCCAAAGCCAGGCACTATCAAGGCTAATGGTAAGAAGTCCTATGGGAACCCCAGGAACTACGACTTGGGAACTGGAGTCTACAGGTTCAGTAGGTCCAAGATGTACCACAAGAAGGCACTGTGGAAGTTCATGGGTAAGAAGAACCCAAAGAAGGAGAAGCCTAAGAAAAAGAACTTCATTGAAAAGCCCATCGGTGGTGAGAAGAACGGAGGCACTCGTAAAGTCATCTTGACCAGAAAGACAGCTTCCTACCCAACTTGTGACAGGATCAGGCGGCACCCGGCCAAGAAATGCTTCAAGGACCACAAGAGGCGTCTGCGTCCCGCTCTCACTGAAGGTACTGTGTGCATCGTCCTCGCTGGAGTACATAAAGGCAAGCGAGTGGTCTTCTTGAAACAGCTGGGTAGCGGACTTCTCCTGGTCACTGGGCCTTACAAGCTGAACGGATGTCCTCTCCGCAGGATCAACAAGATCTACGTGATCGCCACCTCCACCAAGGTCGATGTGTCCAACCTCAAGATCCCCGATGACATCAATGATGACTACTTCAAGAGGATCAAGAACAAGAAGCCCAAGAAGGAAGAGGGAGACATCTTTGTCGCTAAGAAGGAGAAGTACAAGGCCTCAGAGAAGAGGAAGACTGACCAGAAGGAGGTTGATAAGCAAGTGTTGGGAGCCATCAAGAAGATGAAGGACGCCAAGCTGGTCCGCAGATATCTCGGCTCAATGTTCGCTCTCCACAGTAGTCAGTATCCCCACAGGATGAAGTTTTAAACACATTTGACTTTTATTATTTGTTAAATAAACACATTTTGTGGATATGGCTTTGAATTTTCCACCCTTGAGATCCAAGTAAGTAGATAAGTTATAGTTTGTTGATTTCACTCAAACTATTTATTCTTGTTCCACCTAGGGTATAGGTGTCAGTATTTCCTCTAGACTGCTTTAAAAAGTGACTAAATCATTTCTTTGAGAATATTTCTGAGTATTTAAATTTTGAGTTTTAGTCTATCCAATCTAATTTTGGTGTGTTGGTTTAGTTGTAGGATAATTGATCAGATTATTTTATTTGCAATAAATTCAAATAAATTAGGACTGCCAATAAACGGTTTCAATCAAACTATAAGTTTTATAGTGTGCTGGACTCATTGGCAACATGTACATAAAAAAACCTGTTGCAGGGCCTAAAATATTTTATTCCACAGTTCTGCAAGTGTAGAAATGTTGGCTTATTCCTGTTGATGTGAATTCTATCCTGCAGATTTGTAAAGAATCAATAATTTGCAAGTAAATTTTAAGCTTCTGAACTAATTCTTTAATTGAATGTTTCATTTCAAATGTTTGCAAATATTAAGCTTGGATAGTAAAATGATACCATAGTCATACTGAACTTAAGTTATCCACTTGTTAATTTAATGAAGTTGATTCTTATTTTTAAAACACAGTATATCTAAAGTCAAAGGGAGAAGAGTTAAAAATGCTTTATAGGAAAAGTTAAGTTCAAATGGAACTTTCTTTCTACGTACATTCTTTTATATATGATTTGAGAAAAAGAATCTGAAGAGAATATGGAAATGTTGAATTGTAAGCAGATGTTGTTTTTAACAAAAGCACATCAGAGAACTGAAGTGAGCAAAGCTGGTGTCCAGCTAGGAAAGGAAACACTCGTTCGCTTCCCTCCTCTCGTAATAGGCTTAGCCTGATACCATCGCGTCAGTTTGTCCTTTTGTCACTTCTTGTGTTTCCATATAAGCTCTACTGTACAATATTTATATTGTCTCGCCCACTGGGGATTTCTGTGTGCAGACGATACGGATTATTTTGCTTTCTCGCTGTTATTCTCGTATTACTGACTCTCTTGATGCATCGCCTCTAATCCGATTATTCCAGTCTATACTTGGAATTTGTGTATATTTTCATGTGGATGTGGATTAATTTATCATTGTTAAAACTGTTTTATATTGACAATTCCCTGATTTTCAATCGAGTTTCGCTCAATAAAGAGTAAAACCTTTTGAATAATGAATGAATGCTTTTAAATTTGGATGTGTGCTTTTCCTGAATGGAAATCGAGCAACTTTAGGACTTATTTGTACCGAAGCGGAATGCGCTCTCTGCTTGTTGAAGTTATTCTACACCAAACTCTGTAATCTTATTTTGTTGGATGAGCGTTTCCTGTAATTTAACATAACTGATGCAGTTTTTGCAGCAACTTTAAAATGACATTTTCCTCAGATGTCGTAAGGAATCACAAAGTAAACTTCATTAAGTTTTCATTTGCCAAGGTGTAGTTAGCATTTCAAATTGGAGTGCAATTTTCTTTACTATTTATGTATTCCTTATTTTCTAAAATTGTTAGGTTAAAACATCTTTAACATTGCTGAACTTGTAGATGATTGAACGAATCCATGTTTTAATAAAACCATTACAGTTGCAAAGTGTAATATTATGCTCTGAAATTTTGTAATTGTTCATTGCTACATATCGTCGGTCAATAGACATAAGGGCGTAACTGCAAAATGGCAACTTTTCAGGAGAACAGTTTTTTAGGTGGTTTCAGAACATGTGCTTACTTTTGGCGTTGTAATTGTAGATATAAGCCACCTAGGACAATGGAATTTTCACAGATGATACCAAAGGGTATGGGCATCAGTTTACACTAGTTAATATGTTGTTTTCATTATTAATTTCCTAATTACATCAAGTCAAAGTAGATACGCCTGTATGTCTCTAAAAGAAAATTCAAATAACTAGTTACACTCAATAATTTTAAAGCAATAAACTGTCTTCATTTATTTGAAAAATTAACGTTGTTATTACATATTATGCACTAAATTGGTTAAAATTTAATGAATAAGAAAGACACTTGTACACAGTGAACAATCTTAATTAATCTATACTAATATATAAAAATCTAATGGAGTCTGTCTGTATGTGTGTTACTAATAGGTGCAAAAACTACTGAACCAACTGGGCTTAAATTTTACAAAAATATAGCTATTATCAAGGACCATTATAGGACTATTCACATTTCGATACTGACTGTAGGCTTTGCCCCTTTGTCTTTAAAAGTTCTGAGGTGAGGATTTTAAAAGTAAATATTGATTGGTTTCCATCGCTGCGATTAGAACTCTAATAATGTTTGTTTGCATTGGCTTTGAAATTTCAATGTAAACAAGAAGAACTGCTAAATTGCATATTTCACAATTTCAGACAGTAAAATATAATATTTTCTATAACTATGAGATAGGTTTATTTTAATCTACGGTAACGTTTTATCATGGATTATTTATTCTAAAACTGTCAATGATTATAAAAAAAGATTCTATAACCGTTATTGCTCTGCTTTGGATTTTTTAAAGCGTCTTAAGTTATGAAAATAATGCTATTGATATGCTTTCATAGAAACAGTTTGAAAATTACAATGTATAGATATTTTGTATGAATTTGGAGGCTACTTTAAATAAATTCGAGCTGCCTAACATGTGTTAGATTAACTTAACATAACTTGCACATCACATTGTTTTATATGTATATTTAGGTAAATTTAGTTATTATGTTTTGCTAAACATATGCTTAAATTAAACTAAAGAATATCATCAATAACTAAATTGTAGCCCACGTCATTGATTTTTTGTTTTAAAATCTGTTGTAATTGTGTAACTATATTTAATTATCAAATGGTAATAGAAAATACTCTTATTTTATCTTAACATAGCTTTCAGTTCACATTTACTTTATTTAATAAATTTATTATTGTGTTTTGCCACACCACTGATTAAATTAAACCAAGGAAAATATCATAAAACTAGCAGTAGTATACACAATGTTCTTTTGTTTCTAAAATCAATGCAATATCTGTAACTATGTTTACTTAATGTTAAGTGTGAAAATTTAAAGGCAATGGATGGAACTGATTAAAAGAACTGGTTTTTATATTAAGTTGTTTGTTGATATTTTTGTAGATTAGAATCAGAAATGCAATGAAACATATAGGCCTACTGTATTTACTATTATATTTTTTAGTCATCAACGCTTTGATAATCATATTAGTTTTGTCTGCTGTCTTTAATGCTAAATTATGTGTTTAATTTTTTATAGTATTGATAGGGCTAAATCCTATAGTCCCTTTAATATTTCAAAAGACTGTATTGATAAGGCACAACAATATTTCTAAAGTTTATAACAGCTGAGTTAGTTTTGCTAATCTATTATATTATTAAAGTGATACAATCAAATTTTATGTAAACGGTTAAGGCCATTTACCAAACAAAAATATAGGCATATGGCATATCAAAATGAAGCTTAGAGTGTGTAGATTTGCTGAAAAGTATTGATATGGACGAACTCCCTAAGTGCTCTGCCCCACAGGCTGATTTCCAAAGGGCTACGCCTTGCATGTTTTGGAAGTTAACGTTATTCGATTAATTTAGTGAACAACAGCTGGCCAATGCAATTGAAAATGTAGTTTGTTTGTTTAAATTTTTGTTTACTTATTTTATTATTTACTTTTATGTTCTTAAAAGAGGTGCGGCGAATGGGCAGTGAAGCAATTCTAGCTGTTTGATACAAGTGAGTGATTAAAAGTGCTCGAACACGATAAATATGAGATTAACAGAACATGTAAGTTGTTCGTTCCAAGAGGTTGTCACTGATCTTTAACAGGTCGCCATTTCATTGACAAGTATTTAAGTATCAAAGACGTCGTGAAGGAGAGCGGCGAGTTCAGGTACAACCGTACCCACCTCGACCACCTTTGGACGTAATGTATGAAGGTTCCGCTGCTTTTAACATCCTTTCAGATGACAATTTCTCGAACTTGGGCCCTCTAAATTAAATATAAAGTCAAAGTTGGGTGGATTCTGTACACCCGTGAATTCGCGGGTCGAACCTCTTGTAATGATTTATTGTCAGTGAAGAATGAAGAAACTAAAGATGGAAGGATTTGTGATTTAATATGAAGGAAAGTGAAATTTTTAAAAAATGTCCATTCAAATATAATAATTAGTATTTTTGCAACTTCAACATTGAAATTTAAAATGTCAATTATAAATAAAAAGATATGTAATTTTGAGATATGAAGGTAAATCGTCTGTGAAAGTTTTATTCAAAGATTTGGTCAGTTTTTCTCATATGCCTACACAAGATTTAAATTTAATCAAAACCAAAATGGTGGTATCCACTACTTACCAGATTTAAAAGTCAACTTAAACGTTTCTATTAAGGCCATAAAAGTTGAATTTTGTTTCTAAAAGCGTTAGCGGATATGTAACTATTATATGCAACAGGTGTAAAGATTAAAATGTTTCTATTTTGTTACCACTTCCCGTTGCAAAGCACGGGTACAACAGCTAGTAAGCTTAATACATTATTATTAAAAGTTGATACGCCTTTATGACTCTGCAACTAGTAGCTAAATACATTTAAAGTTAAGAGACATACGGTCGTAAGTGCAGTTCCGTCTGTATGTCTCTTGGAATGTAGGAAAAATGTCAGTTACGATGCTCATCTAACTTTTGAACGGCTTGAGATACAGTTGAGCCAGTCGGTCTATTGAATAGAGCGCATACAAATTAGTGGGGTGGTAGTCTTATCTCAAAATCGCAGATTTTCAAGTTACGCCCCTATGTCTATTGACCGACGATATGTTTTTATGCTGAGCCGCCTAATTGTGTTTGCCCTTTTAGTGTGTAACACCTGTTGGAAGAGTAAAAAAAATATCAAATCAAATCTTTATTTATCATTAAATAACATGAGTTACAATAGATTTTGTCAAAATGTAAATACCTTAATGACAACTCAAAACATGGCCACCCAGT